TGTGGCTTTGTTGCTTTTTTTTTTTTCTTTTTTCTTGGCAAGATAAGCGTTCCCTCAGGCTGAGGTAGAGCTAAAGCTCAAATTTCTCATCTGGGGTGAATTCATTTACCAACAGAAGTTTATGGAAAAGGAAGTTTCTTTTGCTTTGTAGCCAAGGGAAGATCAGGCATTCTGAATCCTGACTGCACAGGAGGGATTTACCACATGTCTCTGAATCAGCTACCTATTCTGATAAAGCTATTTATTTAACTTTATCTATTGTGTAGTTATTGGTCATTTCTGAGTTGCTTGCATTTATCACCTGAGGTCACTGAATTATTGTATGCCAGTTCTCTATGCAGTCAGAGACGAAAAAGGAATTATCTAATTCAGCTGTCTTGAAACATCCTGTGGAGACCTGTACTTCTCTCCTTTGGATGTAGCCAGTTTTCTTAGGACACTTGGATTAGTCAAATGCATGGCTTTAGATGCCACATAAAGGATAAGTTAACAGCAAAAAGCAGAGATGAAGCTCATCTTGTACTTTACCTTCTGAAAACAGATATAATTCCACTGAGAAAGGAAACACATTTTATGGTGTACAGTGCACATCAGAGTTTCATCCTGCTTCAGAAATGTCACTGTATTTTTCTTCTGCCCTAAAAAAAAGAAGCCCTTTAGAGTGCTTTTTTATTTCACAAATACTATATCGCAAGCAGATGAATAGTCAATTCCCTCTGAACCTTCTCTTTCTTTATCTTTGTGTTAATATATTTATACTTATAATATAATATTCATTCCAACTCTGTTTTTCACTAATCAGAAGCTTTATTGTTATATTGATATTATAGCTTCCGAAAAGGGGGGGGAGGAAGGGAAAAGAACTTTTCTTAACTGTACAACAGGTGCTTATTTTTCAGAATCCAATTGTCACCAGACTAATTTTTATTAGAAAATATCCATAGGAGTTTTTACTATCCTCTAAAAAATGTATGTTAATATCTTTGTAAAAAACATGTCGCCATTATATGATGCACAGAGCTAGAACAAAATCATCTGCCCAAATACTGAGAAAAAAACCCTTTCTAACAAGTAACAATAAGATTGAACTAAAGAGTGCCATTTGTTATTAAAAGAAACAAAATAGAGAATCGAAGTAAAACAAAATGTATTCCCAAGAGACAAACATTTCATGCTTCAGATTGTAGCAATCGCAGCCTAAGAGATCGAAAGCATTTCCAAACAGCTTTATGTTCACGCTTAAAAGCAAATGGCTTGAGAATGGCAATCATTACTGATGTAAACTGGCTTTAATACTGAGTATTGCTGTCTCATGTACAATTCTGGGAGTTGGGCTGTCTTTTTAATCTACTCTGTAAAAACACTGGCAGAACACAATTGAAAAGTCATACTCTATTTTTGTCTACATAAAAAGTGATCCGATACTTCAGTCCTTCCTTAAATTATTATTTATTCAAAAATTTATTGCTTTGCAAAGGACTAGGACCAACGCTGAATCAATTTCTACACATTTCTTATATCTGACATTATTTCAAGTATTTAAATGAGTGGTTTTCTTTAGCACTAGATTATAAATTAAATCTTCATATACTGGTAAAACAAACTATGCTGTTCAAAAAAGAACTACATCAAAAAAAACCCTCTTTCACTTCTATATGTAGGCTCAATAACATGGTTTAGTCATATTTATACTATAGCATACATGCATAAATACCAATGGCTTTTTGGACGCAATGTCAGATAATAAATATACCTGTAAAAAAGCCACTTCGTATCTATATACAAACCTTTATTCACCAACAAAACTAGAGATCAATTTATCTAGAAAAAAATTCAAAATATTTGGTTAAGTTACCTTGAATTATCCTTAGTAGTACATGTACCACTCTCATGGTTTGAGCCTGGTCGGCAGCCAAACACCACACAGCCTCTCTCTCCCCCTTCTCTTCTGGCAATGAGAAGGGACTGATAAGCTAGGCTTGGGGTTCAAGATAGAACTATGAGGGGAATTAAAAAAGAACATAGATTTATTACAGATACTAACAACACTTAACAGAGTAGGACAGCGAGAAGCATTGCCACATCTTAAGAACAGCTTCCCCACACCCCTCCCTTCTTCCCGGGCTCAGTTCTGCTCCCGATATCTCTACCTCCTCCCCCAGCAGTGAAGGGAGAAGGGAATGTGGGGTGCAGCAGTTGCTGCTTCTTCCATCTTCAGTGGGGAGAGCTTCTGGAAGTTCTTCCCCCTGATCCATTGTGGTCCCCCTCTCACAAGTGACAGTCCTACACAAACTTTCTCCGACATGAGTCCTTCCCACAGGCTCCAGCATTTCCTTACACTGCTCTGGCATGGGACACAGTGAGGGAGGTAGCTGCTAAGATCACTAAAACAATCTGCAGGAAGTCATGAAGTTTAGCAGTCATAAATGACATAGAAAAAAGGGAATAGAAGGTGAGGAAGTTTTCTGATAATTATTGAAGAGACTAAAACTGAAGGCCAAATATGAATTATAGCAGAAGATTCATATAAGACTTAGTGACTATGCAAAAAAAAAAAAAGGTGACTGAAAGGTGTACTGTAGATAAATGTAAAATATTGCAAATAAAACAAAAAGCATCACTATAACATCATAAAAATTCCTACTTTGCCTTAATACTGATGATGAATGACTAAGTAGTTAGGAGTTCTTTAGCTTATGGCAAACAAATGATGGACATGAGATATGATAGCATGAGGACATGAATGGCAGAGTTATTTTCCCAGTTAAATAAATGTGAAACATCAGAGATGTCAGTTTCAAAACAAACAAAAGGAGGCAGCTCTTTATAAAATCTTTAGCTAACCTGTAGGACATCATAAAACAGGCTTTTATGTATTTTAAAAGCACTGAGACTCAGTGAAAGATCAGACAATGATGCATAAGAGAAATTGTTAGAAAACTGTTAAATATGAAGACATCAGTTTGAGTTTATAAAGTATTACACTGACATAGTCTTATAGGCTGAGATGATATGCTGGGAAACCATCACTGCATGCCTTTCCTTTTTTTTATATTTTTTACTAGGCTTCCATGTTTGATTTCTATTAGAGATAAGATCATGAGCTAAACATACTTTGGTGTGATGAAATATGGCCATCTTACTTTCTTATGCCTGGTTGTGTTTCAGTTAAATCAGATGAGGATGGTCAGGCCTTTATATAGGATCTATATAGACAGTGTAGGGAGTTACCCAAAGATGATGAAAAGGCTTTTAGATTAAAACAAACAAACAACAACAACAACAAAAAAAACAAAAACAAAAAACAAACACAAAACCAAACCCAATGTTATTTTAATTAAGCAATAAGGATAGTTATAAACTGTAAATCCCTAGGGATATGATATAATCCTATGCTATATCTAATATTTTGCAGCCTCCTGGAATAACCAACAGTCCTCATAGGAGGATCAGCTTGACAATAAGTTCCACATGATCCAGTCAATCCAATTGTTAATAAAAGTCTGAAAAACAAATCACCTGCCTTTTACAGCTCCAAAGGATGAAAAAGTCTGAAATAAAAATAGTAATGAAAATGGACTTTTTAATGCTCTTTTTCTGAACACAGATTTTTCTTCTACAGAAGAATATTGTTTAAAGGTTAATCTTCCTAAAAAAAATTGTCTCCACTCATGTGTACTGTGGGTCTTTACAGAAAAAAATTAAATGAAAATTAGCACTTGGATAAATGAAAGAAGGGAAGAAAGTCCACAAAGTAAATTATCAGTAGAATTAGACAACACTGACTTTTAATAGAATTTAGATAATTTCAATTAATTTTGGATATCATATACTAGATATATTGAAAGTCTTGAGTTATCTAATGATAGTACCCCAGTGGACAGAAGAAAAAATTAAAAGGAAAAAAAAAAATAAGTCTTTGTCTTCCTATCCAAACATTATACAAAAGGGAAAATTATTTTGTGGCATGACAGAACATGGTACTGATAAGGCATTAAAAATAATGGAAACCCTTTATAGATGTTTTGTAAAACTGTTTAAACTTCAAAGACTTCAGTAAAAGTGGGAAGACTTATATTTCGTAAGTCTCCTAGATTTTGCAGCAATGAAAAGAAACCATCAGCAGTTACACAGTAATGATAAATTTGATAAGGGAATGTTGTATTTTCAGGGACACTTTGAAAAGGTCTTTTTTGAGTGAGATTTGTTTGTAGCTTAAAGAACAGACACATCCAAAAAAGATTACTAGGAGATGTTCAGGTCACATTTAAAAGAGCTGTAACTGAATCACATTAAATGATTATTGCCTCTAAAGACATATGGGAAATACAGGGCCAGTTCCTTTCAATTGAGACAATATTTGTTATTTTAAAGTAAAATAAACATGGAAAAGGACATGCAGTTCTAGTACTCAGTAAATTGAAGGCTGTATGTATTAGGTAAGTCATTAAACAGGGAAGTAGGTAGGTAGAATCCAAATATGGTGTTGACATAAATAAAACACATCTGTTATATTTTAAAATCAGGCAAATTAGGTCAAAGGATAAAAAACCAGGGAAAATAGACTTTATAGTTCTGGTACAGAACTAAATGAGACAGTTGTGTTTTGTCCCAGCCTTTCCTTAATGGGAGAAAGACAGGAAACGTACCTTCAAGATTAGTTTTTTTTGGGGGGGGGTGAGGGGGGAGGGCTACTGTTTGTTTATTTAGTTTTGCATGGGATGTAGCTATATTGTGTCTGTATTAGAACACAGTTTCCATGTAAGAGGAAAGTAAAAGACTGTTTTGAAAGCTTGTTTTGCCTCTTCCTTCCCTCCTGTTTTCACATACCTTTTTCATTGTAAAAATTAAGAGGAGCGTATTGTAACATCTTCAAGGAAATAAAATTTTTCTGTCAACAGGTCTTTTATAGAATTCAAAAATTGACTGTAACAGCATAACAAACCAGAAGTCCTTATCTTAACCATCTCTTCAAATAATAACATAATTAGGATAGTCAATAAGAATAATAGTTTTACCTTCTACAAACTGTTTTTTCTGTGACGCGAATAGTCAGTGTTCACCAGGAAGGTCTTTATTTTGTTGATTACATTTCTATATAACCTCTGTTGGTAAGACTGATTATTTTCCCAAACTGCTTTAGAATCTGCTCAGTTCCATTTTCAAACAATCTTGCCTTGGATTTGAGAAACAGTAGTTGTGATGAGGTAAACCATTTCTGGATCTTATATACAACAAGATCACATATCAGAAGAAAAAGAATTTCAATATCCACAGTACAGAAGAGTAAAACATCTAGTTTAACATTTAATTGTCCTTACTGTCCTGACAGTACCTGATAAAAGTATGTACTTGTTATATATATTCTATTTTTTAAAAATGAACTTTACATTCTGTTTGTAAATCACATTTTCCCTCTATAAAAATCTGATACACAATAATCATCAATTGTCCTTCAACAAAAATGATTCACCCTCCAACTGATTTCTTATGATGGTCTTCATATACACTCTCAGATGCCACAATACAATGCAACTAAAACTTCCTCTGAGAGACCTCAATCTCTTCTGAAAGGGTAAATTCCAAACTCTAGATCCCTGATGAAGTCCATACAAATACTCTGAGGCAGATATCCAGCACTAAGCAAATGAAGGCCACAGAATGAACTCCAGAACTATATGGACCTCATTTATCTATAATGCTTAACTGCTAGGGGATCTCCTGGATCAGTTCTAGTCTCCTCACAGCTTTTGCAAAACATGTCAGAACAGGACAGCCCTCAGTGATCTGAATAAGAACCAGCTGTGCCACATGACCTTATGAAGATGGAGCACTTTCTGACCTTCTCTGCTTTCATAGCATGGACATAAAGAGGGGAGTACTTTCCATGCCATGACCACGGCATGGAAACATGGACATCTATGGACTGTCGGTAATCTTGCTTACAATCACCGTCCCCTACCCTCTCCATCCCTATCTTTGGTTTTATGATTTAAACTCAATCTGGTTGTTAGCATCATCTTTGCTTTGTAAGACATGCATTACTTTGATACAGCTGTTCAGTGCAGCCTTGTGCTGTATTGCTTTTTCATTAGTAATTTATGTTGCAAAAAGATAACTAGGCAGCTTCACATTATCTCCAGCTATGGCACTGAAATAAGAGGTGAATGTGGCTGTGTTCAAAGCTCTTCAAAGATAAGAGTTTACTTTTTAGAACTATCCTTTTCAGTTGTATTACCTTCTCTTACCATGACCTTTAATGGTGCATATTCTGTTTCTTTTCACTGAGCCGGTGGCAACATGGGGTAATAGGTAATACTTGCTGTATTGGTTAATATGATAATTATTTTCCTTTTAAAAATGAAATCTTGATTACTGTCTATTGTTTGTGGTATTCTCTATTAATCTAACCTTTCTGAAGATCCCCAGGTGTACTGGAACTAAAAATCTGACAGTGCTTAGACCGGAGGACTACTTTTGACATAAACCAAGCAATTAATTATTATATATTCTTCATATATTGGTCATCATGGAATTTCTAAAATCTAGCTGTAAGTGGCTTCAGTCTGTTTTTTTGTTTTTTTTTTTTTTTTTTTTTCACCTGTGCAAAGTCACAGGAGAGCATAAAAAAACTTCCTTAGCTAATTCACCTGTTCTACTGATATAAAAAAATGTGTCTTTGCATCTCTGCTTCATTACATGTATGGATTTTTCCCTCCACCTTCCATTTTTTTCCCTGTGTTTGTGATGGTAACTTTTGATATTTATAGTGTTTTGGTCATTGCAAAACAAATTTGCAGTACATTCTGAATGAAAATGATTCAAGCATGACATACCAGCTTTAAATCTAAACATCACTATGACTACAGTTTTATCTAGCTGGAACACTGATACTACTTCCGCTACAGCAGTTAATTTTGCATGCTGTGCTAAATGTGTATTATATCTAAACTGTTCTGGTTCTGGCTGAATAGAGGAAACCCTCACTAGAAAACTATTCATAGTAGTGTCTATTTGGACAGGAAGAATGAACTACACATATAGACACAGTTCAGCTCTCACAGTACAATGCACTATTACATCCAGGGCTAATCTCTGGAAAGTGTTAACTGCACTCTTATGTATTTCACCCTGTAGGCATTCAATGGTTGTTCTTCCTACTTAGAACATCACTGGTAGAGGTGAAACTTCCTAAGCAGGGCATAATTTGAAGTGTGACTTCTGTCATAATAATATCCACCTTGATGATCCTGCAGAAGAAACAGAACCAACTCTAATTTTTACTTATATATTTACTTACTAATTTTCCAGACAGAATTTTAAGAGAATGTTGGAATTCACTTCCCAGTTTTTCTTAGGTTCTTATTTTAACATTCTTTCTCTGGGTCACTTTTTGGGGCTACTTTTAGCATATGCATAGATACTACAGAAATAAGTTATATGGAATTTGAGAGTACAAAGAAATCATTTATTGGCTAATACACACAGCATATTGCTAAGATAAACTAACTACTACACTGATCAATAGTGTGCTAATTAGTCAATTACATAGGGAAAAATGAGCTTTTGTTGCATTTTGGACTGGGATGACCCTCAATATTGCTCAGTTGCTCTCTTCTAATTGATCTCCTGTTTTGGGGAGGGAGGGCTGGATAGGATTTTGGTGTCAGTATTTTTACTCTTGAATAGTTGAGCTACTAATTATCCTCATTTTACCAGCTACCCTTTTGTCTGTGTTCTTACTTATTTTTTATGAGTTTTAAAGCACTTACTTCTTTGTACCTTAGCAACAATTTTCTCAGTAGAACTCATCCAAGGTCACACAGCTTCTTTGAATGAAACTAGGCCTTGAATCACAGACAGCAGAATAGGGTCAAGTGTGGGGCTATTTCAGATTGAACTGAGCTGGTTCTTCAGCTAAATAGCAGTCCCGAGTATCCAAGTCATTGTAATGATTCAATTGTGCAAACATGGATGTCTAATATTCTGTGAGATGTCCTAGCATATCCACCTGGCTTTGGGGTATCAGTCAATATGAGTGCTGCATCCTGTGTATTCTGACACATCTGACTGCTTTCTGTAGATTATTTGAATTATAAGGGCCTCTCAGATATCTCTGAACTTTACTCAAAGCTTGAACACTTGATTTATATTTAAACACCTACACTTATACTCTTAAATTGAAGTATGCAGAATCTGCAACTGAATCGCATCCTTCATTTTTCCTTTCCCTTAGATGAATCCTATTCCCAGTCACAGCATTATGCTGTAAATATTAGTTTAAATAATATCCTGAGAAGTTGAAACAAAAAAGGCCCAAACAATAGGCCTCAAACCAAAGTTGACTTCTGAGTGAATTCCCCGACCAGCAAGGAGAATCTTATCAGCAGCATGAAGCAACCAGCATCTTATCAGTGCAAAAATGCAACCCTGGGAACAACCCCTGAAAACTCTAAGTAAACAACAGGAAGTAACTATAAATCCCAAATGTAAAGAAAAAAGGAGACTCCTCAGACGTGCCCGGATCCTGGCCAGATCCGGACACACCTGAGTGAGGCATGTCAATCTACCAGATATCTCCTGTGCATTTTGTATAGATTTGTTTGTTAAACTGTACAAAAGCCGGGCCCTCTCACAGCACAGACGGAGACGTCACCTACGAGTGGACGCACTGCGTAGGACTTGCCAGTTGCCGGGAAAGGCTCTCCGACCCTTCGCTGTGACGGGGCTCCCCAGCTGATACACGGATCTGGATGATGGTAAAGTATGAGGGCAATTGGTGATGTATCTTTCTTAATCACTACAACTAGCTTTATGTAGTAATGACTAGGTGCATTACCTTGCTTATTCTTTCTGGTGCTTTAAACTAAAGTAAAATAAGCTTATTTCTTTAGCTCGGTGCCTGTGTCCTTTGTGTTAACCCCGTCAGTTGGCAAAACAGAAGTTTATTGTGCAATGCATATTATGCACGACAATGAGAAATTTACGTTCTTTGCTTTTTCTGTCAACACCATAGAGTTTAGCTTAAAACTTCTGGCACTGCAGCACACCAACCCTATGGTGCTGATTTAACGAAAAATGGGGCATCTCTTAATAACTCTTTCCTTTGTTCTGCAACCAGTTGTCAATGGAGGTAGCTATGCTGCTTCCTTCATCAGCAACTGTGACCAATGGGCACATTTAAATTAAACATAGACTCATGAATGCATGTCATTATCATTTTTAAAAATATACTGCAATTTCCTCAATTACATTTGGTTTATATTAGTGACAAATTTGCAGACTACCTATCTGATGGCAAGCTCTGTGGAACAATGATTAATTCTTGTTCATTTTTTTAAATAAGACTTAATTCTCCATGTAGTTGCTATATCACAAAAAAAAATCCTAGAAACTTTCCTTCAGGTCATCCTAAAAGAAATGGCATAAAAAAAAAATAGTTATATTTTTTCTAACATAAATTTAGACAAACTTTAATATTTATTATAAAAATAAAACATGGATCTGGGAATGTTTACCTCCTAGATAATTATTTGCAATTGCAAAGTTTACAATTTAAAACTCAGAGATTAAGCATGGGCTCTGCTAACAGCTCTTCAGACCTAGACAATAATACAAATTCTGAAGACAAGTGTAGGACAAAATAAAGGATATGACTTCACAGAAAATCTTCAATTAACAAATACAAAGTAGGAAGAGATATTATTTGACTTTTTAAAAATTATTTTTTAGAGGACCATAGTGCAAATATTTTTCATCTTAAGCATAGATACATGCTATTAGTGTTAACTGATTCCAAAAGACTTAGTTCAGTCTCATGGGGTTTTTTAGAAACGCTTACTCAAATTTTTCAGCAGTCATTACATTCTGAAGTAATTTTTACTTTTCCAAACTTCTGCCAAAAGTTTTATTTGAATGTTATAAGAATCACTGTCAATTTGCTTATGCCTTAAGTGAATATCATCCTTTTAATATTTTTGTTTTCCTGAAGTGTGAAACACTCTGGCACTTCCTGCAGACTGACTAGAGAAGTACTGAAGCTGAAGGATAACACTCACTACAAGGAACATTTTCAGTCTGCAGAAAAACTCTGTCTGCTACTTTCCATGTCAAGTGCATGAGCTGCAAAAACTTATCTTTTGTCTGCTCTGTCCTGGAAAAGGAAGTGACAACTGCAGCATTTTACAGCTCATAATAGTGTTGGAAACAAAGTCAGTAAGGAAGAAAATACCGGGGGAAAAAAAAATCCCTCACAATGTGAACTACATTGAAGAGAAATAAGAAAGAACAAGAAAACATCTCTGCAGTAACAGCAAACACATGAAAATAACAACAGAAGGAAATAGAAATAAGGAAAAGCAAAACAGAAGATGAATCATAAAAGAAAAGGGTTTTGGTATATGTACTTAGAAAAATGTGCACGCAGCTAGAGAAATAAATGCTCTTGGAAACTGGGGAAAAGCTTGGGAAATTTAAACTTAGTGGAAGTTTAGATTAAGAGCTAGACAGAGAGGGAGGGACAGGTTCTAACATAATTCAGTCTTTAACTGGGAAAAAAAAAAATCAAACAGCATTCACACATATTTCACCACTCTGAAGGTTAGTTACTCTGACTATGGATTATCCAGGTTTAAGTAACATCTTATGTGCTGTATTAAAATCTATCTCAAAGCAGTTTATTTCCGTTCATTTGCAGAACTACTTGAAATATTGTATCCAAAAAAGGAAAGAATCCAGATGATCAGTGTGAGAAAAAAGCTCATGTATTAAAAAAATGTTTTATTGGGGACAAAGTCAGTGGAGCAAAGAATACAGCGCTGGGTGCAATGGCACGCAATCTTCCCCAGCAAGGGCTTCTTTTTATAGAGCAACCAGGAGATTTCACTGGTTGAGCGAAAATGGCAAGTTTTCTCCTTTTTACACCTGCACAGTTCCTTTTTCTTGGTTTCTCCCAGACTGCCTCTCTCAGTACTTTTCCACTGAGTCACTATCACTTTCCTTCCCCCCCACCCCCCCTTTTTCTTTGGCGTTTCCAGTTGTTCTCGGTGGGGGCGAGGTCCAGGTTCTTCTTCATCAAGAGTTTTTCACTCGACTGTTTTCTGCTGGCTTCCATTCCTCCCCAGCGCCCCTCATCCAAGTGCCCCTTTACGTGATACCTAACCACAGACCACCCCCCATCCTCTTGATTGCCCAACTCCCCACAATCCCAACCATATGCCTAACTTGTGATCAAAAAAGGCTTAAGTGTTATAATTTTAGCAACACTAATTTAATAACAGCTTTAGCCTAACTCAATAAAAATAATTGTTTAATTACTTTCAGCAAAAGCGAAATTCTTCTCTTACTTTTCACAATCAGCATCAATAGAGGCATTTCTGTTCACTTTAAAAGGCTTTGAGCCCCTCATAAATTAAAATGTTTGCACTGGTGCATAAGTATATAGACAATAAAGAACTATTTATTTGTTTATTTTTTAAAGATAGTTCCCTGAAGGAGGCTTCTGAAAACCAGTTTTCTGGTACTGAAGCAATAGCAGTAATCCAGTCTCTGATTCCATCCACGCCCAAAAAAGTTTTGCACATTCTGAGCTTTGCTGCTGTTTCATACAAAGAGTTACATCCTGTATTAGATTTCAGAATTGGTTCTGGAAAACTGGTTCATTTATTATAGTATGCCTATCAGTGGCAACCTTTATAGGCCTGGAATCTCTAGCCTTTTAGGTAAATCTAAGGATTTGAGTCTGATCTGAAAATGTATAAAGTATAGCGATTAAAGTGGTAGGGTAATATGAAGAAATGTGTTTCTGCCAGTTAGGTCAGTAAAGATACAAAATTATCTTTAAAAGCTCACTTGTCATCTTATCTTTTAGGAAGCTTGTGCTTATGAATGTCACCCTAAATGTCTCTGTTGCAGAATAACATGTATCTTCAGATTCATGAAAAGAAGAGAAACATCAGGGAGCCTGGTTACTGCTTATTAATAAAGATTATGAAAATTATATTATGTGGTTTGCTGAGAATGTTAATAATCAGATCTATGCAAAAGGAAAATATAATGGAAGGTATATGCAAGAGCAAGCTTATCTTCTCCCCTGAACATAGAGTGCTATTTTGACATGTTAAGACCCTAATTAATGAGAAAAATCATTTATTTTATAAATAATTTTCCCCAAAATCAAAAATTGGTACATATTCCAGCAGTACTCAGAAATGCAAAACTTAAAATGCTCTTCTGGGAGAAGGTGTATGTATTTGAGCATCTGGGTATATTGTGAATTATTTGAATCACATTCCTCAAATTTGCTTGCATAAGAAATTCTCAAAGAAAAAAAAATATAAATTTATGTTAATAGCTAATAAATGAGCAAGTCCTTATGATTTCTGTTATTTAAAAACTTACAAAGGGTAGAAGAGAAGAGCATTTTGAATTTGTATTGTTTAGTAATAAATTTGCTTATAGCAAGCAAGTAATCTAGCAAGTAGAAAACCTGCAATTTATAGAAGTGTGATATTTGGATTTATGCATTATAATGAAGTCATTATTCTTGTTTATGACAAACAAAATTAATTACCAGGATCCATATGAACTGGCACCAACTAGAAGAGAAAATTTATGCAAAAATCATAACTTTATATGTCCTATAATTTATCCTGTTAAAAAAATAAAAAACAATTAGTACATAAATAACAGCCAGTGGTTTGAGAAAGATTTTGCCTGAAAGCTTATTTTGAAAACAACTGATAGGTATAGACTTAGAAGAGAAAAAGAGTGCGCACCTTAAATAGAAAAGTAAATGTTAAATTCTGTCTTTCATATGGCGGAAGATATGTCTCTTCATTATTTACTGGAAAAAAAAAATCATACTAAAGAGCAACATTACTGCTAATTAAATATTATGTATTTTTGGTGCATATTCTTTCCATAGACTCAAGAAATTAAAAAGAACCTGATACACATTAGAAATAAATATTTTGCCTCTCTTGTATGAGTTCTGAGTGAAAGACAAGAAATGTGCCACTGGCTGTACAACCAGGAGAGGGAGCATAGAGAGCGCACTCCAGGACAATTAATTCAGAATAAATTTCAGAGGCTGCCATGAATCAAGACTGAACAGCCTCCTTGCTATGAAATGGGCAGCAGAAGGGAAGACAGACAGACCAGCAAACTGAAATGGTTTCATTACTAGTGCTAATGCTATTAAGTAAATGGAAAATTTCCATCTAATTTAGTTAATTCAATGTTCAGCCTACTACAGAAAAGCTAGAGAGTTCTCCATCTCATTCCTCAGAGCTGGTTATGTGTAAACTAATAGAGTTTTTTTGTATGCATTATCAAATGTGGGTGCTTCCTATTACTCCATTATTACTTCCACCCCAAAGACATGATGACAGGTGAGACTGCACTACTTCAAGTGTTAGCATGATTGTATTTTGGGGGTTACCAATGATTACTTCCATTCTACCATGAACATCTTGAACTATGTTAATCCATAAAAAGTATGTGGTGAAGAATACTTGCAAATAAGTGCCATTTTTATCTAAATGTAAATAGAGACTAAAGAATCAATATACTTATGGTTAAATTATTTCTGATATAAAATATATAATTCAGTGGTATAAGAATTCTACTAAGATTCTTGGAGCACTGGAGCAAAATGGGTCAAAAAAAGTAAAGAATAACTAATATAAGTAAATAAAATAATATTCATTAGAAGTCAGCCTGTACTGCTGAGACTGAATATCTGTTTTTATTTTTACATTAATGATCGAGATGTTCAGAAAGCTGTGCTCTGAAGCTTCACATAGATTTCACAGCTGTCAGAATATAGCTCATATACCTTACCAGCTATAAAGTTGAGTGCTAACTCATACAGAATCAAGTACTGAGTCATGTTTTTAAAATCAAAGTTTGTGCCAGTGAACAAAAAAAAAAAAAAAAAAAAAAGGAGAAAAAATAAAAGACAAAAAATAAATTAAAATGGTGATTACACTTACCTAAAATACAGGACCAGTACCATTATGGAGAAGAAAATGTATCAGTTGCCTGAAAATCAAGCATTCATCTGTGAAAGATAACAGCCATGAACTTACCCTGATTTAGTGATGCCTGTTGACTTCCAAACTCCAAGTCCGAAGGTATCATGTTACACTCATACAAATGAACAATATTTTGCCTGAGGCAGCGTCTTCCAGCCCTAACCTACTCCAGTCCTGAAACTGCACACATCTTCCCTTTCTGAGAAACAGTAACTTCCACTTCAGTCTGGTGACCATTCTGAATTCAGCCATTTTAGTCAGTTGCAGAAATATGTATAAGTACGTGCTGAAAATCAAGTTAAAAACTCACAGCAGAGTGTCTCATCTCATACAGCCATCAAGATCATTAGCTCTAATACCCAGAATTTCCAGACATTGGGGTTTGGTTTATTTTTTGTAGAAACATATACATGTGAAATAGATGACTAGCATTATTTAACGTTTCCACTACAGTAATTCCTGAGGACTATGTCCAAAGGGAATCCTCAATATGGAAAATAAAGAAGAATAAAGGCATTCCTAGTCAGCTGTTTAAAGGCAAAGTGAATGTGTTAATCCTGCCCATATAACAGAATGAGGAAACACAAAAAACTGCATGGACCTAACTCTGTACATCCACACAGTTTGCTGCAGTGGTCAGAGGTGCAAGTCTGGGCTAGAAGCACTACAGTCAAATAGTTGAGGACTTGGATCAATACTGAGGTATAAAATGGACATACTGTTTTTCTTTCTGGAATAGGCACATATCAGATCAATCTTTTCTATGAAACAGGGTAGTGTAGCCATATTGAGTGGAGTTCACCTAATGACATGTAGGTATCTACAACATAAGCATAGACAACATCTGCATCACTCATTCAAATTTCACTGTAGAGTTGTAAATTGGCATTTTTGTTCTATTAAGCTCAGTCTGCAAATTGTACAACACTGTTCATGTTAGTCTAAATTCAACATCTAAACCAGGTCAGATTATCTGCATTGATTATAAAAGGTTCTTACATTGACTACCTCAGAAGCAGACATCTAAACATAGCTGAAATTAATTTCACTCAACTTTCTGTTTTGCAGAAAGAGTAGAATTCATTTCAGCTATGTTTGGATGTCTGTTCTGTGAAACATGGAAGTAATATAAATATTTTAGCAAGTTTCAAATATGTTTCAAGGAAGTTTCAAAAATATTTATTTATTTTTAAATTGTTATTGTACCTCCATTACTTTACATCATATCAAAACAAACCAAAAAAAAAGTATATGGGAAGTTCAACAAGAACTACAGAGTGTCATAAAAATACTTATTTGAAATTTTAGATCTGTTACCTTCCAGTATTTTGCCCTGGAGCATATCTTGTTCAATCTGACAATCAGTAGACTTGCACAAAATATAGAATTCCTCTCATGTGCTTGTACACTGACTAAATATCCATATATAACCTTGGTATTTTCTCAGGATTATAAGGAAAGTAATCAACTGTAAAGATAAGCATAAAGCCTGATTCATTCCTCTTCAACTGCGTGCAAATAGATCTAATGCCATCAGTTCCAATATTATCACCACTGACACATCTGCTTGAGAAGAATCAGACCTCTCATTTCACACATTTGCATAGACCAATTGTAACCAGGCAAACCTCACTTCTATTACGGTACTGAGCCCAAATACTTCAGATTTCAATTTGACACCATCTATCACAAACTCATATTCACAGTACCAATCCTACAAGTGATCCATAAGCAAAGATGATAATTTCTAATCACTATACAGGGACCCAAAAGATATAGGCTGGGTTTCGGAGCTTTTAGCACTGATACAATTTCCTTCTGTAATCTTGGGGAGGCTATATTGTTACTGTTTTACAGTTCCCAGCAAAATAAGGGATATTGTCTCCCCCTTCTCTCCATTTTTTTCCATGGGCTTCTTTTAAATAATTTTGTATTATTGTAATTATTCAACTAGATTTTTGATCTATGATATTGATATAAGAACAGGATATTCTAAACTAAACAGCCTTTAGTTGTAGCATCATAAAAATGTTCTTATAAAGTATTTAAATTAGTACAAATCGAAGAAGTTACACTAATTTAACTACACTGGTATAATTAGGACAATAAAAATATTGACTTTCATACTTACACAAAACTTTGCATCACAAACTCTCTCGAGAAAAGATTACATAATGTTTTATGAGTTTAGGACAACAGTGATTTCAAATGAGGGTGAATTTTCTTTTTATAATTAAAATGGGTAAGATTTTGATCATTCAGTGTGTTTGGTTTAGGGTGGTCCATAAAACCAGCTGGATTTGAAAAGAATATTAATGTACAAAGAATGCACAAAGTTCTAATTTCCTATAGCACATATGAAAACAAAGCAGATAAATTATATTTTTTCCCTCAAAGAGCTAACTTCCTCTGCACACAAAGCAAAACCCTTTTCTTCATTGTTTTCCGACTTATGTTCCAAGTACCTACACTAAACTGACCCACAGTAACTATCTTTCTTCATGTCCTTAGCTGAAGTCCATATGCTTCATAAAGTAATTTATTTCCATGTGAAGTTACTGTGGGTTATGTTAAGACATATCTTCTCACAGTTACTGCTGGCTTAGTCTACTTTTTTAAAAGATAGGCAAGTTTTTTAAGATAATCTGTCTCTCTTGTAATTATATGGAGTTAGTTTATGAAATCCATACCTCAGTTGCCTGTAGCTATTTTTCAGGTGCAACAGATTTAAAGTGTAGCACTTTTTGGCCTTTGTGTTCCAATTGCTACTCTGCATCTATGAGTGTATTCCTTCTTTATAGAGAGACACTCTGGGAGACAGCATGCTTTGAATTGACAGTATGTATTTTGTTCCAGTGTTTACTGAATGACAGGATTTCCTTTACTGTCTTCCTTGGGTCACTGACAATTACCAGTGTTCTGATGACAAGCAGTAATTTGTTAAACCATTGTAAACTAGTTGCATGCCTTTTCCTTCAGGCTTTATATACTATTGCTTCCAGGATCTGCTACCATCATAATGTCTTTTTTTCCCAATCTCTCTGTGGTTTCTCACACAGCTTACTGATTAATGTTCTAACCTATGTGTTTGTTCCTAGCGAAATCCCCAGAGTCACCCAGCTGAATTTCTGCTCAAACTGTCTTAATATGTGCTTAGTTTGGCAGTCTCTTCTTACCTTCTTACATAAGAAAGACTAATGGTATTTTAAAATTATTGTAGCTCTAGAAAGGTGGCTAGAACTCCTGATAATAAACAAAAAAAAACCCAAAACAAAACAAACAAAACCCTACCCCCTCAACAACAGTAATAACGAAATAACCCCAAGGGTATTTTTTCTGTTGTTTTTTAATTTGCTTGTTTGTTTTATTTTGATTTGTTATTTTTTTCCAGCTAGCTTGGTATGATTCTTCAAGGATAGCCTTGTTGTTGTAGCCTAACTGAGTGGTGGCAGACAAGCTTTACATTTTCTTCCACCTTTAAACTGAACGGAATCTTTATTTCCTTAAGAAAATTTCATTCAATTTATTAAAAAAAAAAAAGTTCAAATAACTTAATGTATTTTAAATCTCTTTTACCAATACATAACAATAAGAAACAAACCTAATTAATTTAGCAAAATTAGCTTGATTTGTAAAGGTTATTTGGAAAAATCTTTCCTCAAGCATATTAGGGATGGAGGAAAGTTCACAAATGACATCATGAGACAGATGGGAAGAGAAGAACACACCAGATTGCTATTGTCTTCTTATATGAGATGGGTTAGGAAGGATTATATCAGCTGTTAGTTCATTTGAGGAAATTATAAAAAATTTAATACCCAAGTGCTTCTGAGAAACACTGCGTTTTGGGGAATTTGCCATCTACAGTGTATGCTTATATCAGTGGTAAGCATGTATCATGTATCTCCCCTTTGTGCCCAATCACAGAGGATAAGAGTCTTTTCTAGCCCTCAGCTAGAGACTTAGTCTCTTCACTGAAATTATAGAGGACTATGACTTAAGCATTGAAAGTCCCTAGATCACAGCTAAGACAACAGCTGTTGCACACATGCTCACGTAAAAAGAAAGAACACCGCACAGCAATAAAAACAACAATCTAGTTCCAAATAGGAAACAGTATCAGACAGTGGGCTTTGACAAAATGAAAGCTAAAAACAATGCCTTTCTCCATCCTCAGGCCACTTACTATGCTTTTTAAACAGTTTAGACCATGAGAGAATATGAAAAAAGAATGTCTTGTATGAAATAAACCTATCAGAACATTTGCCATGTGGGCTCACTTCCAGAAAAGTATAACCTGTTGTGGTTTGAGCCTACTCAGCAGCTAAACGCCACACAGTCGCTCACCCACCCTCCCCCCACTTGGGAAAGGGGAGGGAATCGGAGGGGCAAAGGGAGACTCACGGGTTGAGATAAAAACAGTTTAATAACAGTAACAGAACAATACGCTGACAGCAGTATCAACAGGTAATGTACAATACAGCTGCTCACCACCCACCCACCAACCAACACCCACCTGCTCCCAGCCAGCGATCCCAAACACAAAGGCACCACAGCAACACTCCAGGAAGTGAGAGCCCCTCCTGGCCCACTCCTGCCTTTATATAGTGAGCGCAATGTCACATGACATGGGATATTGTCCAATCCGGGCCCAGCCCTCCAGCTGTGCTCCCCCCGCCCCCGCACACAGGTGAGGGCACTAGGACCTGGGGAGCCCCTGGGGTCTCAGTGTGCTGCAGCACTCCTCCCGCAGCCAAACCAACAGGAACTCTGATCCAGCCCCAACCAGGACAAACCTTTTCAAAATTTCAAAAGCCCTAGTTTGCAAAAGGAAGACATTTAAGTGTGAAAGGTGATTGAAATTAGGCTCCTAAAATATTAGGTCATGTATTCAACAGGACATTAGGCTTTATTCATGTGGAATTTGCAAAGTTACCGTAAGGAAAGCAAATCAGAGAAAACTTACTGTTGTACTCCAATTTCTGGCTTGCAGCTTCCATGAGAAGGCTTCTGCAACAAGATACAGGAGAGGAAGAAGTTGGTATTCAGTAGTGTTTTGCTCTCAGAAAGAAAGCAGAGCTCTGAATCCCTAGGAAGCTTCATCAGCTTCCAAATTTCAGATTCACGTTTCATACAGGGATGCTTAACATGCCAGCACTCAGCATGTTGGCTGCTTTGAATAATAATATAGGTTCCTCTATTTTGTTTATAGTTATATCTAGGCACCTAAACCGGTACTGAAAATTCAGTTTGGAGTACCTACACTTTAGGTGTTGCAGCGCTAAGCATCACAATGTCATCTGTTGAATCACCAGCTGAATAATTTTTCAAAACAAGATTTGAGACGAGAGAGAAATAAAGGAGTAGGTATATAAAGGAGCAGTAGAGTATGTAAATGACATATTGGCCAGTCTGTGCCTAAGTAATGCCTATCCTTGATGGATGCAAGATACATTAAGATTGTCTGTGACCAAAATGTTTTCTGTGTTTCCTATATATTACAGTTCTCCTACACATGCTTAGTTCTTGTCTAAACAGACACCCAGGATCTGTTCCATATAAAACTGTCTCTAAATCCTGTCATCATACCTAACAAATACCAATGAGAAGACACCAGTTATATTTTTGCATTGCTTGTTTCACAGTAACAACATGACTGAAAATAGTAGCAGTACCATACCTTCCTTTTTGCTCATCACCTATGACCCAATGCTTAAAGAATTCTTCTAGGAAACACAAATTGTATCTTGGCAGCCCAAGATGATTTTTAATATGACTCCCTTACTTGCTGTAGGGAATGTTCAGCTACTAGGCTTGTTGTTTTCATATAGATATTAAAAAAAAAGAAAAAGAAAAAGCCAAACAAACAAAAAAACCCAACAAAACAACAATCAACCTGCTATTGTTATTCCCAGATGAAAAATAAGCATAATTATGTCTTTCTCCCTTTCAAAACATTTTGAAGGGACTATAAGTTTTTAAATGAGATCTTATTGTTATTGCTGTTATAATATAATATAATATATTATTACAGCTGTTTTTATTAAGACCTTTAAATGTATATAGTTTTATTCATATGCATTATCTTGGTCTAAAGACTAGTGTTGTCTTTGCTAATGGAAAGTATAATATTTTTAAGCTGAGATGAGTTACTTCAGGACACCTACCATTCCTTCCAATCACTCTGGGAAAAAAAAAAAAAACAAACACCACCAAACATGGTAACTTAATGTAAGCTAAATTTGCCAAGCTCAGCCTACATTTGTACTTTGTGTTCCTAGCTGAGGCAGATTCCAGTGTTTAACAATATTAAAATAAAAAGCTGTTTCTTTCATTGTATTTAAACCTTATTTTGCATAAAATAAAAATCAAAACTCCACAATTCCAGTATGTTTTCAGTGAACCACCTAGATGATGTGGAACTGCCAAACGTAGGGAGTACTTGGGGTATCTCAGGATGCTAGTAGCTGAAATACAGAACAAGGTCTCATGTGGTCTGTCTGTGGAATAATTTGGGTTTACAGTGTCATTCGTGTTTCCTTAAATAGAAAGAAGTGATTTATTATGTTAGAAGGGCAAGTCAGGCAAGAATCTCACCAATTTTTTTCTTGCTACAAATAGCTTCACAAATGATCTGAAAGCTCATTATAGAGATAACAGAAACATTTTCATGCATTTTTTTAAAAAAACAATGGACAAAAACATTACATTATATTTAGCTGTTTCTGCATGACTGTTTGGGTTTACAGTATTTTTAGTGAGACATTGCAAAATACTGTAATTTAGCAGTCATGTTATACATCGGTGATACTGCAGAATCTTCCTACATATAATACTACTGCAAACACTAATGAGTGCATGCAGAGCAATTGAGCAAGAAACATCTATTATGTAAATTACAGGCAGTGTATTTTGGGTAACTAACTGCTGCTTATCTACTTAGCAATAAAATATCTACTCAGCAATAACCTATCTACTCTGCTAAATAAAAGAAGCTCATGCAACAAGATGATGCCTGATTATCCAGGCTGCTTAATTGTCAGGTCACTTTCTGGACCTCTTGTGAACAGCCTTTAAATGACAATCTTCTAGAAAGCCTAGGAGTAGTTAAGTTCAGGGATGACCGTGTTGTAGTTTGAGCCTGGTTGGCAGCCAAACACCACACAGACACTCACTCCTCCCTTCTCTACCAGCAATGAGAAGAGACAAATGAGCCAGGCTTGGGATTTGAGATAGGACAGGGAGGGGTAGATCACCCATTCATGTCACGAACAAAAAGCAGACTCATTAGGGGAAGAAAAAAGAGAACATACATTTATTACAGACACAAACAACAACACTTAACCAAGTAGGACAGTAAGAAGCATTGTCGCATCTAGAGAACACCTTCCCCCCACCCCTTCATTCTTCCTGGTGTCAGCTCTGATCCAGATATCTCTACCTCCTCCCCGCAGTGGTGCAGGGGGCAGGGAATGTGGGATGCAGTCAGTGCTGCTGCTTCTTCCATCTTTGGTGTGTGGAGCTTCTGGAACTTGTTTACCCTGCTCCAACGTGGTCCCCCTCCCACAAGAGACAGTCCTCCACAAACTTTCTCCAACTGGAGTATCTCCCACGGGCTCCAGCCCTTCCCAAGCTGCTCTGGCATGGGACACCCCTGCATGCTGCAATCCTCCCAGCGCTGAACTACAACAGCGGGGTCTACCTTTTCCACAGGACCCTGACTTTGGGCACAGACACCTTGATCATCCAGGCAAAACACAGGCCATAAATCAGTGTCTGCTCCACTGTAGATCTTCATGGGTGTCAGTGGGGGGCTGCCCTGGTGTCTCGCCACAGGATGCATGGGGGTCTCTGCTCCAGCATACCTCCCGCTGTCTTTCTTCCTCCATTCCTCCACTGATGTTAGTGTTCACACAGCTTCCGCAACTCCTCCTCATCATGTCCCTTCTTAAATACATTATTGTAGAGGTGCAGCTGAATGGCTCAGTTTTTGTGCAGAGGTGGAGATGACTTGGAGCTGGGGGAGCTTCAAGAAGCTTCTCACAGGGGACCACCCCTATAGCCCCCTCCCCTGCTACCAAAAAACCTCACCACTCACTCAAACTCAGGACAGACTCCCATAGACAATAGGCACAAAAGCGTTCAAGGGTTGGATCCCTTCATGCCACATCTCTCTCCAACTTTAACACAAAGTGCTTTGTACCTTGTGCTACTACTGCATGTCCTTTTCTAACAAAACAAAGTATGAAACATGATAACTCAGTTTCACACTAGGAAGGAAACAGTCAACTGAGTTCCTTTTTTTGACCTGAAAAAAAAAAGAAAGGAGAAAAAAACAACCAACCAACCAACCAAACAAACAAAAAAAGAAAAAACAGTCCCAGGAAAATAATTGTCTTTATTTGGGTTGGAATAGAGTTAATGTTCCTTTTTGGTAACTAGAATAGTGCTGTGTTTTAGATTCACCATTGGGTTTGGTATGAGAAGAATGCTGATAGCACACTGATGTTTTCAGCTGCTACCTAGATTTCAAGGACTCTCCAACTCCCCATGTCCTGCCCGTGCGCAAGGGCACAGGAAGCAGGGAGGGAGCACGGACAGAGCACCAGACCCAAACTGGCCAATGAAATATTCCATATCATGGAACGTCATGGTCACTATATAGAGGAGGGGCAGTCAGGGAGGGGCTCTCTCTCACTTCCGGGATTGTGATTACGGGATCTTGGTATTTCAGTATCGCTAGCTGGGAATGGGCTGGGTATTGGTCAGCGGGTGGTGAGCAATTACATTGTGCATTGCCCGTTTATATTTTCTAGTGCTGTCATTGTTTTCATTTTGTTACCATTATTAAACTGTTTCTATCTCAACCTGCGAGTCTCCCTTTACCCCTCCAATTCCCTCCCCCATTCCCAGGTGGGATGGGGAGGGCGAGTGATCGGCTGAGGGGTGGTTGGCTGCCAACCAAGCTCAAACCACAGCAATAATTCTTTCTTAAAATCATACAGCTCCTATACTGAGTTCAAGAGCACTTCCAGAACCAAATGCTATGCAGTGAGGATACAGCAATCTGCTCTACAGGCTGTTGGTCTTTACAGTGGGAGAATGCTGTTCTATTTATCAGTACACATAGCCTCAGTGATATGGCTATCATGAGGTTTCCTTCCACATAGTTAACAGTGAAAATTCCTGATAATTATTCTTACCAGTGATGTGACCATATTTTTTGTCCTTTCATTAAAAAGAAAGGACCAGAAGATAACTAAAGCAGTAATCTGTTTTGTTTTTTTTTTTTTCTGTAATCATGCCAAACACACTCCAATATACTATGGTACATATTATACTATCTGAGCTATAGTTCTTTCTTTCCCCATAGGGTTATTTTGCTTATTTAGCCTTTCTTCTTAGCTACATGAAAAGACAGTATTCTGTTGTTAAAAGTACAGAGTAATATAAGCTCTTGTTTAAAAGTTTTTTTTTTTAGTGTTTAAAATGTTACTGTCTGCTGCTTTTTGAAGAACTTTTCTTGTTGCAAGCGTATTTAATTCTTTTCACGCTGATAGGC